CAACTTGCAGCTATGAAACACATTTGGATATACTCAATGATTTATTTTCCAGTATTTTTTTCGAAAAAGGATCCTCTGTAATTTAGAATATAAGAATGATAATATATAGATACGGCTGCAAGAAAGGTGAAGATTATAAAATTACCACGTTCTTCATCAGTTTGTTCGTATAACATTGCTAATCAATGTTCCTTCCTTTTCTTTTTTTTTTTGGATTTTTTAAGCCCACTTTTTTCTAAGTTTATATATCCAGTTCGCATAAACATCATTCTTTAGAAAGAGTCAAGTCATAGCACGCAATTGTATAGATTTTTAATATCAATAAACGGACGACATTTCGTTTACAAATCCATGAAATATACAAATGTGCACCGTACGTTTAAGATAAATAAGAATTTTTAATTGGAAATAATCTTGATAAGAATAGAATAATTTGTAAAATGTTATAAAACGAAAATATTTTAACGCTTATCAATACGAGCTAATTGACTCTTTCAAAAGTTGAATAAAATATTATTTCGCAAAATAGATTCCAAAATGGATCTATCGATGTTTCCAATTACAGCGCAGTAAGACTAAGTACTTCCTTCTTAGTCTATATAATATTGCCAAAAGAATTTTCAAAGAATCATCATAAGCAAAAAACAGAAGCTAATAGAATAAGAGATTTTTCGTAGTTTGCAAATGGGAATATTTCGCAGATTAGATTGGCGAAACATGTTATTATGTTGAACCCATTTACGTTTGTATATTAAGTAGATAATAAAATGAAAAGGGACCGTAATATTAGACTATGACGCAATCATATGCGATTCTGGTCGATCAAATTAATATGCAGTGGGCAACAGATTATTTGATCAACAAGATCGCATGTTAGCTTAATTCATTACAGTATCTTTGCATTAACAGTGACACAAAAAAGAACCTAATAAATTATCAAATCGTAGCAGATATAATTGCTGGTCTTCCGATTCTGCTCTGGTTGTTCATTTTATATGTGGTTAACGGCACCATCATTATCTGGCAGATTATTTTATTTGCTTTCGTTATCTTGATTAGAAGAAAACAAGCGTTCTGAGTAGATCAGAGATTATTTGATTACAATCTTTAATGATTACCGATAAAATTCATGCAATATCAAGATCGACTCTTCGCTTGTTAGATATTCATCTGCCCATACAATAGTTATAACAATAGCGGTTAAATGAATTGTAAGAAAAATTTTGCCGAATCAAAAACTATCGGAGAAGCAAATAGAAGTAAAATAGAAAAACGCATATCGATTATTAAAAATACGATACATCGGTATACGATATTTCGATACGTTTCAGGTATCGTATCGCTTTTTATTCGAAGGTGTAATATAATCTGCGCGATTTATTATATTGCGTTAATTACCTCTTTTTCATTCAATCGCGCAAGATGTACATGTATCCGCAAACCGGTCAACGAGATACAAATGCGATTACCTTGCAACTTATAACTCGGTCGTGATTATTTTGCAATTTATAACCCGGTTACGATTATTTTGCGACTTAAAACCCGCTTCGTAATAAATCCACAATGAACGATTATTTTGCAACTAATAACCCAGTTATGATTATTTTGCAAGTTATAACTGCCGGTTTACAATAAATTCGTGATAAACAAGAACAATAGTCGCGTGACAATCGTTTACCTAAGAATTTCTTTTTTCACGTTATATTGTCGAGTCAGATTTACGACATACACGATCGAGAATATGTAAACATATGTAAACTTTCCAGAATCGTAGAGCCGCACATATGAACTGAGTTCTTGTAAGACGATAAGAAAACCTGCAAAGCCCGTAATAAGTTAATTCGCGAGCATGATCGCGCATATTCAACATTTACATTTGATTTTACAAAAATGCGAATCTTCCTCTCGATATTCAGTTAACGGGGATTACGATGGTATTCTCTACGAAAATGGAAATCCGCGGAATGTATCTCGACTCGAAAATACATTTTGAATTTGCGTCAAACTTAAGCCATGCACTCGGTGTCGCTACGAACGAAAATTACGTATATTGGTCGGTTGAAGGCAGCGAGCATGAACAACCATTTGCCCAGATCAACATTCTACACGTCTGTTCAATGTCCAATTGTCTGCAATTTCAATTTCCTCTTTTTTTGTGTCAGCAGTTATCTCATTACTTTTTACCTATTCTATAGTTTCCGTGATAAGCTCACAGTTTCTGATATTACAGCCCTAAATTTAACGTTGCAATCGCCTCCACTCACCGTTAATATTTCACTTGAGGAGAATTCCTCTCTAATATGAAATATTTTGGTATCGCATATTGATCCATCTTCCACATCCAAAAACCTAAGTCATATTGGCTGGTGGCCTTCCTTAAATTTCAGATGTAGCCATGCATACCAAACAATAAATTTCCTGCGTATATACTTTCATTATTTCTTACTCTTTCTCGTGCTTATCCACAATTTCATGGAGATCTCTAGAGATTCTATGTCGATATTATCAATAATGTAATAACCTTGGCAGTTATTTTATTTTTCACGAGAGACGAGAGTATTTAATAATAATGTATTTACATTCACGTTGCAACATGAGCTATCACGTCAGTTTCTCATGTGCATTCCCTTGCCACCCATCTATTCATTAATTTTAATAAATTCTCACAATTTTTTTTGTTAAATCTCAGCCTCGATAGACTGTTGTTGCATAATTAAATATAGGCTGCGATTGGACATATATTATTAGTATCAATCATAGAACCTCTGTTTTTGGAGTCCACCAGCCAGTTCTTTATAAAAAATAATTATATAAAACTAGTCAATTGTACAATCTCTGATTCTCAATCACAATATAATAAAAAGAAAATCTAATTGCATTTAAAAAAAAGAAAAAAGAAAAAGTGAAAAGAAAAAAGTTT